CCAATGCTCTTCATTGCACAACACCTCGGTTAAACTAAACATTTGAACTGAACGTTCGCCCACGGTTTTCTTTCTCGCCCGCTTTCGTTTCTCCTTTCGAGTCCTCTGGTCTAGAGACTTTCGAATCCAGATGAATGGTTCCCTGCTTTTTTTTATAAACTGTTGTAATTTTACATTTTTTTTTAAATTACAATTTTGATACCGAATTATGAAACCACGATCACCTCTTCATTGGTAGAAACGAAGTGTTTACAGTTACACAGTATATATAATGCGTGGGAAATCATTTAATGGTTTTATCAAACGAATGAAAAGAATGTAGACATTTGACTCTACTTTCAAGTTACACCGAGTTTGATTTTTCACAGATTCTGCTTGCACAAGAAATATGATGGACATTACGAAAATTATCGTCAGTAATATTAGGATTCGTAAGACATCAAGCCCTGTTTACAAACAGTTTATTAAACTACCTCTGTCGAAAGAATGATTGCGGCACGAAACTCTCTACAACTAGAGGACAAAATCGAACAGGATGTTCATACGAACTGTCTTTATCCTTTATACCAGGCTATCCCTATTAACTCTTTGTACTCGAGATTTGATACAGAAAAATGATAATGTCTTCAATATAATATTTTGTATTGTACTTTCTATAATGCAAAACATTCGTATAATTCATACATACATTCATCGCTGTATGAAATATTGGAACAGAATAACTTTGTTCCTTAATTCATGTATATTTTCGTTCCTTCAAATAATGTCGTCTGTATCTCACCGGAAAATGTGCAATATTATCAGTGAAAAACTTTCGAGCGCAAAGCGTTAACTTTTCCCTATACGAGACACTGCATGGAAGTTCAAAAAATTCGGAACGGTTCCCACCAAAAGGAGTCAACGCGTCGAATGCTCGGGAAAATGATATTCTTAGTAATATCTTTCTCGCGTCTACGCGCACGAAAGTATAATGTTTATATTGGCATGTAAAGTGGAGTTAAGTAGGATCGGGAATAACCGTAATCATAAAACCGCATATTACCGCGAGTTTAAGCGTGGCGTGCGTTTATTATGAACGACTCTGTGTTTACCGGGAACGCATGCGTGCCCGTGCGTTTCGCGGGCATGTTTGCACGGTGAAAAACAAACTCACCGGGGTACGCGGTGTTTATTCGAAGCGGAGCATCGTTTTTCAAGATAGAGTCGCGGAGATCACCGGGGAAACCCGTCGATATCGTTTCGTTGCAGATTGGCTCTAGCGAAAGTACTGTATGCAAATTACTGGATGTCTAGCGGCACGGCACATGGACAAGAGGTGTCTTTTTAGTTTACAGTTTTATAGTTTCGATTGATTACGTGCAATCGTACTGACGAATAGCAAACTAGTCGTCGAAAATAACAAGAATTAGGAAATGAGAGCAACAGAAAATTGAGTGATAGAAAATGAAAACTGATCGATCGACCGAATACCTCAGTTTAGCCGTTAGGTGATCTAGTAGTACACGGGTTGTTGCTAATAGTTTTATTGTTGTTCAAAATATTTTCCTTTAACGTTAGTACAGTTCCTATTGTGTTCTGTCAGCACTTTCTAAACTTAAAAATGCTTTATGAAGATAACGAACAACCGAATGGCAACGTTAGAAATGGCGGATTCCCAAAACATTTGCAGCAACCTACGAAAGCACATATGTACATGATTCTTCTGTCATCTCGGCGCAGTTTCGCGTCAATCGGCGAGGAATCGCCGGTGCAATGGGATCTTGAATGAACTTCAAGGTCGCTGCTTCGGAAGCAACGCTACATGTTTCATAATTAAACCGATCGAAGCACTCCGATCTTCACCGAGATTCACGTTCGTGGAGCCACGAACCTTAAATGTTTACTTTCGTTTGTAAACTTCCTCCGCGCGGCTGATAACCATTATATAACAATAATCTTATCTTCGCATTCGCTATGCAAACGAGACTCGATACTACCAAGGTGCAACAGGCTGGACGTGATAATTAGTGGCGACGGTCGTACGCCGCCGCAACCGTCGCCGCGCGCCATTTCATAGATCACGATTTTTCGAGGAAATATATCGAGGTGTTCGGTTTTCCTTTCAATTCACGAGTTTCTATTACTTTCCTTCTTCTTTTTCTATTTTTTCTTCGCCGATCTCCCGAGGTCTCGCCTATCGCTTCTTTATTCGCCGAGTAATTTCTTATCTTGCAGAGGAAAGGCGCGCGCGCGCGTGAAATGCCAACGTTGGACCAGCTTATTTCACGGAACGTTAACGTAACATGTACGAGGAGAGGATTAAGCGAGAATGTTCTTTTTATGATTTTTCGAAGTATTTTTAACTGTTATCAAATGGTAAACAGACTTTCTTCGCTCGTTTCGTTTCGATTTCTGGAGGATCGTCAGTAGACGATACATTCTCGTAGGTTCAGTAGTCGTAAATCTCAATTGCCAAATGACTTAGCTAGGTCAGTGGGAAATGTAGATTTCTTAAGCTATGAAGAGGAAGTAATTTTGTTTCAAGATTTAATATTCTTTGATTTTCTAGTTGGCGAAAGGGTTTTACTCAATTTCGTGACCCCGATACCGGTGATCAATTACATTTGTGGTAATTTTGTAATAATTTTACACCATGAAAATAAAACATGCTTCACGATTAAATATTCCTCGACTTCTTAGTCCGCGAAAGGCTTTATTCGATTTCGCAAGCCCGTGACCCTGCGACTTACCGGTAATTTACGATTTTTCAGACGGCTCGCAGGGGAAACGACGATCGAGGAATGAAGCCGGGTAGAACGGTAATTGGCCACAATTTTCGTGCGCAAACATCGAATTTATCGTGACCGGGAGGGGGAACGGGAAGAGGCGCGCACAGTTCCGATGAAAGCGAAGATAAAAAGTCGGCGGGGAGCGTGTAAAAGGTGTATACTCGCCTAGTTGCAATATTTGGCGACCTTCGGAGTTATGGAAATGCGCCACGCTATCTGACACATGTGTGCAGATCCTGCACTGGCGAGTTTCGAAGCTGTTGGCGATCTAAGAATTAAATGTCAGTAAGGTCATGGTCGCGAAGGAGTCGAGGAATCTTTGTCTGCGGACTCGGCTGGACGACGTTAACTAATGAGAATCATTACGATAATGCGCGCGCGCGCGCGCGCACGCACGCACGCTCGCTCGCTCACTCGCGTAGATTCCTTCGGAAAGATATCGATTCGTTGGTTCCATCGTAAAACAGAATTTATTCGATTGTGGTACACGTTGGAATACTTTGGTCAGGGTATGGCAATTTGGAGGTTCAAGAAGTTAGAAGACGATGACGATCGATGGAACTTTTGTTTCTTTCGATGTCACGCGTTGATCGCACTTATAGGATTTATTGTAGATATTTGAAGTTTGTCGTTTCTTATGTTTCAATTGTAACGCGTTGTTCGAGTAATTTTAGATGTAATGTAGGTAAGATCTCTATTAATTGGATTAACACTAAAACTGTGAGACAAGTTAAAATTACCTATTCCTAATTTCTTCTCTTTGCAATTATTAAAAAGATAAGAAGTGTTTCTCTGAGAAATTATTAAAGAAATTGATGTAGCAATACGCAAACTGAATTGTAAATCAATTAAAGACGCGATAGATACACTCTTGGAGTTTTTATAAAGGAATATCAAAAAGTTAAATCAACTGTTCAGTAGTTTTAATGTTAAATTATTGAAAAATAACTAT